CCCCCCCCAAAAAAAAAAAAAAAAAAAGAACCCAGCCGATTCTCCCCAAAGAGCTCTTCAAGCCACCCTAGCAAGATGAAGCAGTCCAGGGCTGAGCCAGGGAAGCCCAGCCCCTCCGAGCCAGCTCTGGGCTCCTCAGCCTCCCCTTATCCCTTTCCAAGTCAGCTCAGTCAGCGGTTTGTTTAAACCAAACAATAGCAACCTAAGCTGGCTGGGTCTTTTCAATTCCCCCAGGCTTGGGTCCCACCCAGAGTGAGGCCAGGGAGGGGGTGAGAGTGGAGGCTGGGCCCTGTCAGGTCAGGGAGTTGATGTTCAGAGCCGGAGCTGGGTGGAAAGTCTGATCTGGAGCCTTGATCAGGGTGGGAAGGCTCTCCTTCCCCTCCTTTCACCCTGGGGAGCTTTAACTCATCAACTGGGGCCAGCTTGGCAAAGACTCTGCAAACCCTTGGGCTGGGTTCATTGAGGCAGGCCACCAGCCCTTCCTGCCTGGTTTTCCCAGCTGCCCTGATGACCCTGTGCTTGACTGGAACACTGATGGTCAATAGATGGTTCAGGTTCCCCCTGGCGCTGGTCCTATGGACAGATGTTGGTGCCTACTGGCAGGAAGAGCAGGGGAGAACTCGGCAGAGAGGAACCCCACATGGTGTGTGGACAATGTGGCTGTTATTTACTTGGTTTGGCCTGAGGATTGCCTAAGCTCCTTTTGACCATAAACCTTCCCTCATTGGTCAGTCCTAGGAAACTAAAATTTGTACCATAGAATCAATATTTGGTAGGTGTCTTATGAAACTAAATTCTAAAACGTGAGAGAGTTGGGCTCCAGAGGGGGTCACACTACTTGTCTGGAGCTGTGAGAGGAAAAATTCAAGGAGGAAGGGTCTTTAGACCCTGGGGCCTTTGAGAACGGCTGGCTTGATGTCTCATGCTTTTGACCTCAGTGCCATCCTGTGCTCTTTCTATGACATCATGACAATCCCATCGTTTTTGGAAGATCGTTATTGAAATATACAGATATTATCTGGAGGACTGGGACTGCGGTGGAAATGGGAACCCCCACCAGATATCAGCTCTTCTAGAATATCTTTAAGAATTAGAATGTCACTTCTAGCCTGCAGTCACCCTAGAAAGCTGGAACTCTCTAGGATGAGATTCAGAGATGCTTCAGGAGGTAAGAGAAGAACATCTGGAGCTTTGAGTCTTGCCCAAGCCTGGCAGACTAGGGAAGTGCCTTGCGAGGCTGGAGTATGAGCCCTGTGTTTGAGGAACACATCACACCGGTCAAGTCTGAGCAGAGCCAGACTTTGGAAGGAGACCCTGCAGGAGGAAAGGGGCTGCTAAGAGGTCCTCAACACCTTGGACTTTCTTTCTCCAACTGGGCTGCCTCCTTCTACCCCCGCCCTGGCCTCCAGGTGGGCTCTCGCTTTTTTAAGATGGACTAATCATAGACCAAATATCCTTTCCCTTGCTACAGCTAAGAAAGGCTGGCATTTTGCAAAGGAGCTTGCCTAAATGCTAAGGTTAAAAAAAGGAAATAGAGCCAGGTGTGGTGGCTCACGCCTATAATCCCAGCACTTTGGGAGGCTGAGGTGAGAGGATTGCCTGAGCCCACAGGTTCGAGATCATTCTGGGCAACTTGGTGCGACCTCATCTCTAACAATGAATCAAAAAATTAGACGGGTGTAATGGCGTGCGCCTGTAATTCCAGCTACTTGGAAGGCTGAGGTGGAAGGATCACCTGAGCCCAGCAGATTGAGGCCGTGGTGACCGTGAGCATGCCACTACACTCCAGCCTGGGTGACAGAGTGAGACTACAACTCAAAAAAACCCCATATAGTTGGTCCTGAAACAACATGGATTTGAACTGCATTCACTTATATGTCGATTTTTTTCATTACAAGTTGCGCCGGGTATGCCTATCCCTTCTGCTTCCCTGCCCACCACCTCCATATTTTCCACCTCTGCCACCCCTCAGACAGCAAGACCAACCCAACCTCTACCTCTTCCTCCTCCACCTGCCCAATGTGAGGATGATGAGGGTGAAGACCTTTATGATGACCCACTCCCACTTAATGAAGAGCAAACACGTTTTCTCTTCCTTACGATTTTCTTAATAACATTTTCTTTTTTCTAGCTTATTTTCAGAATACAGGATGTAATACATGTAACTACAAACAACCACTACAACTACATGTGTTAATTGACTGTTTATGCCATCGGTAAGAATTCTGGTCAACCATAGGCTATAGTAGGTGCATTTTGGGGGAGTCAAACGTTAGACATAAATTTTTGACTGGTGGAGGAATAGTGTCCCTAACCCCTGCATTGTTCAAGAGTCAACTGTAGTAGAGAAATTATAGACAGTGCAGATGAGTTGGATTTCTGATCCTTAAGCAAATAAAAAGGCTAGGATGGGTTTTTCAGGACAGCAGGACAGGAGCTCCTGGGGAGTTTAGTCAGTGTGCCTAGGCCGACACTCTGGGCAGCCCGTAAGTGTCAGGGACTGGATGGCCTTGGGAAGGCAACTCTTTTCCTTATCAGTCACCTCTGAAAATGGGAAGTCTGATACCTATGACCCTTCTTGGTATCAGGAGAAGGGAGGAGAAGGTGGAGAATGGTTCAGGAGGACTCTTAAATGTTCGGAATGTAAGAACAGGAGTCACTTCTTTCTCTTAGAAGTTGGTTCCAGAAGTGTGTGTGTGCATGTGTGTGTATCTGTA